TGTTGTAACCAGGGTAGTTACAATCAGTCCCAATGAGAATGATTAACCATTACTCAAAATCCTACTGGACAAAATATTCGTTCAGGATGGGGCCACAAAACTACCTTGATATTTGTCACCCAATATCAAATTAGTCATCAGAATGCCTCTTGGTCAGAACAAATACAAAGCAAAGGGAAGTGGTATTCCCTGGACTTTGGTTGTCTGAGATTTGGGTGTTCAACACACTACTGGGGTTCAAATACGCCACCACTTACTAGCTGTGACCTTGGGTGAGTGACTTGCTGGTTGAGAGCCTGAGTTTCCTCAGGTGAGAACATGGAGATAATAGGAATATCTCCGTCATGGCATTATCTAGAGGATTAAACGAGCTAGTGCATGAGTACAGTGCTCTGTCGGTATCTAGTACACAGCAAACCTATGTTTGTTCTTATTTGTATTAGCTGGGAAAGGCACTTCAGGTAGGAAAAACAACAAAACCTCCCTTCAGTGACCAGACTACTCACATGTGCTGGGCGCTTTGGGAAGACATTTGTCCCTGCTGGTTACCAAGTGATAAGGTAAAAGAGATACAGGAAGGGGACAGGTATGCTTTAGGTTAACAGCCTAAATTCAAGAAACTTGGAGCAAATTTCTCTGCTCTCTGACTTCAATATTTAATTAATTTCAAGGATTACATTGCTAATACTTTTTAATTGGGTCAACTGGACTTCACCATTGTGCTCCTTGTCTCTCATCAAAAACTCTTTGTTAAAGGAGTTGGGCAAAGTGTCTTACAAATGGAGTTAGACAAGGGCTTTAGAACATTCTATAAATTGGATTCCGTATACTTGTAAATTACGCTGACAGGCACTCCTGTAACACAATGAGGTCAAAACAGTCTCATGGAAAATAGCCTTTTCATGCTGCACCCAAGCCAGAAAAGGAGAAAGGATCAGAAAGGTACCATGTTATGTGCGCAGAAGACAGTGGTTAAGTTCAACCCAAGACTTACCATTCAGTCAGTCTAAAGGGACTAAATGATACACATTCTTAAAATGTACAGCAATAGGAGTGTAATGAAAGATATGTTTATGAAGATATCCTATTTGCATGCTGTAAATGTAAGAAAATTATTGAGATACAGTTCATGACTTTAGAGAATTTGCAGTTTAAAAGAGGAAGCAAGATATGCATATAATTAAGTAAACAAAAGAAAAATGGGGTATAAATGTCATGACTCAGAGACAAAGTTTAGTCTGAAAGAACCTAACTGGATTGAATTGATGTCCTACAATGTAATTCATCCATTTAACTGCTATTTATAGAGTGCCAGCTATGTGCCAAGTCACGAGACATAGTTCTCCCCACAAAGAGATGCTGATTTCTATAAATGCAATTCTTGGTGGGTTTTCAGGTCACTAGGTAGAGAGTTAAAAACAGAACAAAACAAAACAAAAAACTGAATTAAAACTTGGCTAACTGGGGCCAATAGGTAGCATGGTGATTAAGATGCTGGACTCCCTTATGGTCAACGGCAGTCTGAATCCTGGACCTGGCAGCTTGCTTTCTCACTTTCTCACTCTCTCTGGTGAGTGCACATGTTCTAGAGCAAAAATATAAGAAAATAGTAATAATTAATAAAATTAATTCTTAAAATAAACCCATAGCCCTACCAATATTACATTGAGCAAATAACTGATCATGTCTCAGCTTCATTTCACAAATCAGAGTATCATCTGATTTCTTCTTCCAACCTTATCCCACATCTAGTTAATCAATAGATTAGTCCTTAAATATGTCTTGAATATATTCTATCCTCTTTAACCCAATATCCACACTCATCCACTCTTAATACTTTCATCATTTGCTACAGATGATGTAGCTCTGATAGTCACTTCTCATCACCTACAAATTTAGAGTCTGTGCTTCTCAGCAAGGTATTTAATATGTTCAATGATCTAAATTTTGTTTACCTTTTTAACCTCACATAAGCATCCTCTTCCACATGGGCTCTTTGTTACATTTCCTCTCTAACCACCAGCCTGTGGGTGGAGTTAGACTTGTATTTTTTTTTTTTTTCAATTCATGACAGAAGGCATGTACACACATAAGAAAGAGAAAAATGTGTGTGAGTGTGTGTGTGTGTGTGTGTGTGTGTGAGAGAGAGAGAGAGAGAGAGAGAGAAGCATCGCGGACAGGGTCAGTACCCTTCCTCCACTCCTCTGACCCATTGGGCTTAGGCACTGGCATGCATGCCCAGTGTGTTTCTGGTTGACTAGGCCGGGGACTTGAACCACGGTTACCATGTAGGATCCAGTTTCTGGTGGGCAGCACATTCCTCCTATGGAACTGACCCATGCACATGTTATGTTTTAGTGCCTAAGCCCAAAACAGTATCCCCATCCACACTCCACCAATCCCACCTGGAAGGCTTTGAACTTCTGTTCCTTCAGTACTTTACTCAAATACCACCTCCTTCATAAAGCATTCCTTCTCCATCCTCAATACATTGACACCTTGTTTGATATACCTATGGTAGCACCACCCACTGTAACGCCATCATTTGTATGATGTCAGTTGCCTCAATAAGACTGACCACCAGAGGACAGAGACAAGCCCTTTCACCTTTACATTCTCAGTCTTAACGCAGTGCCCAGAGGGAGAGGCTCTGTAATAAATACTTGTGGGAATAAAGTCAGATTTGGGGATAACTGGAAAGAGCCAAGAAATGTTTTGGAGAGAAAGTAGCATTGGATGTAGGCCCTGACAAGCTTTTAAAAGTTTTCCTGACTCTTAAATATGTAATTTGGGGATGCTTAGTGTTTTAACATAGACAAATAGGGACAAACATCTTTTTGCTTTTCCCTTTAATACAGAAGTAGTTTGCTAGCTGAAACATTTCTTTTTTTTCTATTTAAGGTCCTAGGTGCAGTGCTCTAAGCATGGTAAAGACTTAACAAGTCTATTAATTTTCTAATGTAAAAAGTATCATCCTCATGCCTTGTAGAAGAGGAAACCTATCGATTTTTCTTGAAAGGCACCACTGAGTGCCCAGCACTGTGCAGTACCCAAAAAGCACTTGGCCTTATAGCTGCGTCACAGATGTTATTCCTTATGGTTCTACGCCACCCCTTGTTACAAACAGAAATGCTGGTATATCTCCCAAGGTGATCCCCTTGACTATCTACTGCTATTCAGTTTTATTCTCCCTGGATGGATCACCTGAGTCCAACTGTAAAAGCAACAATTTGGATATTTTATTATCTCAAATCATATTCACTTCAGGTTATCAGTAATGGTTAAGCTCCTAGCTACTCCAACAAATTTCTTATATCTGAATTATTAAATGGAATTAGCACTTTCTGGGTTATTTCATTCTGAACTATTGCATGTTTCCACATATCATTGAAAATACGAAGAAAAGCATGGACAGCAACAAAGAAATGATGAGTTACAGAAATCCAAGAGACTAGAGAAAACAAAATGCCTACAGTGTTGCCCTCTGATCATTAAAGAAACTATTCCCAACACTCTAAACATTCGTCTTTAGTAATATCATAATAATGATAATAATCTGGTTTTGGGGCAGCGGATCATGGTTGGGAGCAAGGAAAATTGTCGCTGGGTTTTTAGTGTGCAAGAGAGCGAACTGTGAAGAACCCTATGCTATGGGAACCAGCAGTTAGCGTAATGGCTATGTCGCCAGATTCCCACGTAGTCGACCGCGGTTCGTGTCCCGGACCCGGTGGCTTAAAAAACTCACGCGGGGCGCGTGTGCGTGCGTGCCCAAGATCCCGAGAGGAGAATGGAGGAGAGGGGATTGCGGCGTGACCATCCCCCCTGGGGGGTGATTTCTCGCTTTCTGTCTCTATGTCTCTCTCTGTCTGGCGAGGGCACGGCGCCCTAGTGAAAATCTCTCAAAAAAAAAAAAAAAAAAAAAGAACCCTATGCTAGCTATGCAACTCTTTCAATTTAGAAATTTCTGCAGAGTAAGAAAGGTACTGGTTAAATTCGACGAGGTGACCAAGTTTCTGGAGGAAACACGTGAGGTGGGAGAGTGTAGCATCAGAAAGTGGCTATTGGCCTAAGGAGAGAATTTAAAGCAGGGATTAGGGAGGCAACTTGGAAGTGGAGGGCTGGCTCGCCTTTTCGCTTCTATCCGTCCAAGGCTGAAGGATTGATTGCTTTCAGCCTTCAGGCCAAGCAATCCTTCTGGCGTCTACACTTGCGGAGTTTGCAGCTAGGCAGGCAATTTACATTCGCCCGTTGACTTGCCCCCAGGCTAAACCAGGTTTCCTTTTTTAAAAAGGCAAGCAACATCATTATCCAACAAACCCTTAGACCCACGCACCTTCTCTCAGTTCTGCCCTTCTAGGACCCTGACCTGGTGCAGGCAGGGCAGACAGGGCCGAGGAGAGGCTCACACGGGCAGTGGGGACGAGTCCCTTTCAAACTGCTTTTGTATCTGCCAAGGAGTAGCCAACAAGCGCCAGATTTATGTGCACTTTGAAAGAAGCACCTTCACCATTGGCTTTCCGAGCGGCGCTGTCGCTAGGGAGCGGCTGGTAGAGCGAGCACAGCCTCGGAGGGAAGCCCGGGCTGTGTGTCCCTGTAACCCGAGGAGGGGCACACACAGTTGTGCGCGCTCGGATACGCACACACACTCGCACACAC